CCATACCTACCATACATACCATACATACTACCATACCCTACCATACCATACCATACCATACCTCCATACCATACCATCCATACCATACCATACCATACCATACATACCATACCATACCATACCATACCATACCATATACCATACCATACCATACCATACCATACCATACCATACCATACCATACCATACCATACCATACCATATACCATACCATACCATACCATACCATACCATACCATACCATACCATACCATACCATACCATTACCATACCATACCATACCATACCATACCATACCATACCATACCATACCATACCATACCATACCATACCATACCATACATACCATACCATACCATACCATACCATACCATACCATACCATACCATACATACCATACCATACATACCATACCATACCATACCATACCATACCATACCATACCATACCATACCATACCATACCATACCATACCATACCATACCATACCATACCATACCATACCATACCATACCATACCATACCATACCATACCATACCATACCATACCATACCATACCATACCATACCATACCATACCATACCATACCATACCATACCATACCATACCATACCATACCATACCATACCATACCATACCATACCATACCATACCATACCATACCATACCATACCATACCATACCATACCATACCATACCATACCATACCATACCATACCATACCATACCATACCATACATACCATACCATACCATACCATACCATACCATACCATACCATACCATACCATACCATACCACCATACCATACCATACCATACCATACCATACCATACCATACCATACCATACCATACCATACCATACCATACCATACCATACCATACCATACCATACCATACCATACCATACATACCATACCATACCATACCATACCATACCATACCATACCATACCATACCATACCATACCATACCATACCATACCTACCATACCATACCATACCTACCATACCCATACCATACCATACCATACCATACCATACCATACCATACCATACCATACCATACCATACCATACCATACCATACCATACCATACCATACCATACCCATACCATACCATACCATACCATACCATACCATACCATACCATACCATACCATACCATACCATACCATACCATACCATACCATACCATACCATACCATCCATACCATACCATACCATACCATACCATACCATACCATACCATACCATACCATACCATACCATACCATACCATACCATACCATACCATACCATACCATACCATACCATACCATACCATACCATACCATACCATACCATACCATACCATACCATACCATACCATACCATACCATACCATACCATACCATACCATACCATACCATACCATACCATACCATACCATACCATACCATACCATACCATACCATACCATACCATACCATACCATACCATACCATACCATACCATACCATACCATACCATACCATACCATACCATACCATACCATACCATACCATACCATACCATACCATACCATACCATACTACCATACCATACCATACCATACCATACCATACCATACCATACCATACCATACCATACCATACCATACCATACCATACCATACCATACCATACCATACCATACCATACCATACCATACCATACCATACATACCATACCATACCATACCATACCATACCATACCATACCATACCATACCATACCATACCATACCATACCATACCATACCATACCATACCATACCATACCATACCATACCATACCATACATACCATACCATACCATACCATACCATACCATACCATACCATACCATACCATACCATACCATACCATACCATACCATACCTACCATACCATACCATACCATACCATACCATACCATACCATACCATACCATACCATACCATACCATACCATACCATACCATACCATACCATACCATACCATACCATACCATACCATACCATACCATACCATACCATACCATACCATACCATACCATACCATACCATACCATACCATACCATACCATACCATACCATACCATACCATACCATACCATACCATACCATACCATACCATACCATACCATACCATACCTACCATACCATACCATACCATACCATACCATACCATACCATACCATACCATACCATACCATACCATACCATACCATACCATACCATACCATACCATACCATACCATACCATACCATACCATACCATACCATACCATACCATACCACACACCACGCCACGCCACGCCACGCCACGCCACACCACACCACACCACACCACACCATGCCGCACCACACCACACCACACCACACCACACCACACCGTACGATACACCCCACCTTACCACACCCCACCATACCACACCACCACACCACACCACACCACATCAGATCACACCACACCACACCGCATCACACCATACCACACACCACACCACACCACACCACACCACACCACACCATACCATGCCATACCATACCATACCATACCATACCATACCATACCATAC